GAGTACTCATATCAAGGTTATCCAATGCAAGGTTGAAATCTGCTACATTCATGTCCTTCCATTTAGTCGGCACATGAATACATTGTCGAGAAATGAATCCCAACTGATTTGATAACTTGCGGATTGAGTCTTATTAAGTAGTCTTCCCATATCCATGTCAATATTAACTTTCAGCTTTTTCCCAACTGATTTGTTCAACTTTTGTAGTCCTTTACCTCTTGTTCCCCCACGTTTTTTTTTACTAAGTTTGAAGCTATAATGATTGAGAAAAAGGTTAGAAATTTATGAAAAATGTTATTAATAAAAAATAGATACTTATAAATAATTGATAACAATAGATATATATATATAACCTAAACTCGCTTTTTGGAGTAGGCAAATTAGCGAGTATCACTATCCGATGTTGCAATAAGAATGGGAGGAGGCGGCGTTTGTTCATCTTGGGAACATCTTATGGATTGGTTGCTGCAATATTAGTTGAAGAAGATGAACCATTAACGACTAATTGTGAAGGACTAGTTGGCGAAGCAACTACGACTTTAGATGCTCTAGTGCAAGGTCATAACACCAAAACCATCGTATGATACACCTAATGAACAACATAGCATAAAGAATCCTAGTTAAGCAAGAATTAATAAAGAATAATTAATCATTAATTTACAATAATAAACCAATTGAAAAGTGGAATTCTAATTACATGAATTATCAATCATCAAAATCATCATATCAAGGGTTTTCCTCATCACTATAATAATTAAGTAAAGTATCATCCTCTTCTTCACTTTGATTGGAAACAAAGTCATCATTTTCTTTTACAACTCTTTTGCTACTTTCAATAACATTGGCTTCTATAACTTGTGAGTCCACATCAACTCTATATAATAAAGCTATGTTTGAATCGAAATAATATCAACATCTACACTATCTTACACTTCATTTTCTTGATATAGTTCATCATTGAAGATCGATAGTTCATCTTCATCCCTTATCCGACTTGATAATATTGGCACATCAAACACATGCCTATGCTGAAATTGTTGAACTACTTGCCAATTATGACCTAATTTTATGTCATCAACATAGAAAATTTGTTTAACTTGAGAAGCTAACACATAAGGCTCATTTTCATACCAAGTTTAAGAAACATTGACACTTGTAAAATTACAATCTACATGTATGCTTGCTTTTTTTCTACTAAGATCAAGCCATTCACATCTAAAAAGCACAAATCTTCTATCTTTTATGTAGTCCAACTCTATAATAATAGTAAGCACCTCGTAAAAAGTGACCATATTGTCACAATGATTTGCTTCTACTACCACCCCATTATTTTGACTTTTAAGTCATGTATCACGATTCTTGGTATGAAACCGAACCCCATTAACGATGTAACAATTATATTTCTTTACATAAACTTGAGGTCCGTATGCTAATGAATATAATGCCTCATTTACTTATTGTGATCGTTCATTATATAAATACATCATCTATAAGACAAAGGAATTAAGGTAATGTGAGATGATGTAATAAAAAAATTATTATACAAGTTTTAATATTTTTGTAATTTGGTCCTTACGCGTTGTTGAAACCACAAAAAGAACTTTGCTTTATATCTTTCTTCCACATCTAATTCACTTTCTTGTATAAGCTCTTCTATATGGCAACTAAGAAAATTATTACATGTCAATGGTGAGTTATTGTTCAAGATCTAAATAAAATTTGATAATTCAACAACATTTCAAGTTGACTTACTCAATATACGGTTCCACTTCTATGCAATTGTTTAAGATATACCAATGACATATTTAAAGCTCCTTTATTGGAATATCAACATATTTTATAGCTCCAAATGGTCGAGGCCTATGTGAAAAAATGGACAAACCACTATCTCCTAAAACACCAAAATTGTGTTCGGCCTATTGAATTGAGTTTCAATTCCATGAAGATACATGGAACAAAATGTCAAACATTCTTCGACGATATAGGCCTTAACAATTGAACCTTTTGGGTAAGCTTTGTTATGCACAGCTTCTTTTGAAATACCATAAACGTCAACCATAAATAATCATACATAAGAATTATTATTACAAGTAATTTCACATGTGAAAGAAAAAAAATCTTAGGTAAGTAATTTCTCACTACTCAATAAAAAACATCCATCTAAATTGAACCGGACATCCAAGAATAGCCTCGTATGGTAAATGAACCGCCAAATGAACCATTACATCAAAAAAGCTAGAGGAAATATCATTTCAAGTTTGCAAAGTATTGAAACAATATCTATTCTCATCTTCTCAAGATCTTCAACCTTTAATGTCTTACTACATAACCGTTTGAAAAAATCTCCCAACTCAACTATCGTGTTAGCAACATCCTTCGACAAGCATCCACAAATGCCAACATGGAGCAATCGTTGTAAAAGAACATAGCAATCATGGCTCTTCAAACTTGATATCTTTCCATCACTTAAATTCACACATCTAGCAATATTGGAAGCATACCCATCTAGAAACTTCACTAATTTCGAAATTCACAAAATTTTTGTTTTTCCTCCTTAGATAATACATAGCATGCTCGCTTGTATGATATATCTACCATCACTTCCTTTCATCAAATGCAACTCTTTTCTTATATTAATGTCCTCCAAATCTTGTCTAGCCTTAGATTTATATTTATTTTTCCCATCCAAACCGAACAATGTTCCTAAATATTCTCACAAATATTTTTCTCAATATGCATTACATCAAGATTGTGTCTTAACTTAAGTGTATGCCAATATGGCAACTCAAAAAGAATACTTTTTTTGGTCCAATTCAACTCATCGAGAGTACGCTTCCTCTTTTTATTTGTTGGGTGTTTTTCAAAATTAACATCTTTAAGATTTTCTAATTAATACAACATATCATCTCCCGATAACTCATAGGAGCCAATTGACGTTCAATCTTGCCAACAAACTTTTTATTTTTTCTCCAACTATGGTCGTGTGGTAAAAACCTACGATGCCCTATGTAACTAATTTTACTTCTTAGCTTATGGGAACAAGTTTGTTGGTTACATACGAGACAAGCCATATAACCCATTGTACTCTATCTAGACAAATTGCCATATACGAGAAAAATCATTTATTGTCCACATTATGGCAGCATGCATTTGGAAAAGTTTTCCACTTGAAACATCATATGTTATAACACCAACTTCCCATAATTCCTTTAACTCATTAATTGAAGGTTGCATGAATACATCAATATTCCTTCCTGGTGTATGAGGCCCTGGAATTAATAGTGACATGATGAAAACATTTTCTTTCATGCATTTCCATGGTGGTAAATCATATGGCATGAGAATGATTGGCCACATGCTATAAGAGCTATTCATATTACCAAATGGATTGAAACCATTAGTTGCTAGGCCTAGCCGTCTATTATGAGAACCATGGGAAAACCATGGAAACTTCCCATCAAAATCTTTCCATACCACACCATCTGCTAGATGTCTTAACACACCATCATCAACACACTTCTCCTTATGCCACCTCATATCTACAGCTATATTGGTAGACATAAACAGCCTTTGAAGCCTGGGAATTAAAGCGAAATATTGCAAAGTCTTATGGGGAATCTTCTTTCCTTTACTATCGTTGATTTTCCATCTTGAGGTACCATATTTAGGGTAAGATTCATGAGATTCATGCTCTTTCTAAAACAAAGCACAATCATATTTACAAGTATGTATAAGGATATACCCTAATCCTAACTCACGCAACATGTTCTTTACCTCATAATGACTTTTTGGAAACGTCGCACCACTTGGTAGAACTTGTTTAAGTAACTCAAGCAACATGTCAAATGATTTATTGCTCCACTTATTACACACCTTCAAATGGAGCATTTTAACTATGAATGACAATGTGGTGAACTTTGAACAACCTAGATATAATTCTTGTTGTTCTTCATGCAATAATTTGTTAAAAGACTTGGCTCTATGATTTCGTTACCTCCCATATAATTCCCTCTAAAGTTTTCAAAGTCATTTAACATCTCATTAATTCCATCGTCCTCTTCATCATCATTAGGTGTCTCTCCAATATGGAAGTCATCACTATGGTAACTAGAACTAACATTAGATCTAACATCAAAATTAGAGTGTTCCCTATGATAGATCCATCGACTATAATCCATATCTATCCCTCGAATTAATAGATGATCATAAACCACATTCGACTCTTCACATAAAAATTTAAACAATCTACACATGGGCACCTAATTTCGGACTCTCTCCCTAAATGATCTTCAACAAATTTCATAAAAGACTTAACTTTTTCGACATATCAATTCGACCATTTTCTTTCCTTCATCCAAGTCTTATCCATTGTTAAATGCCTATCAAAAAAGACCAAATGCCTATTTTAGCAAGTTATAATGCAAACATTAGGTTATCTTTTAGTTCAGTCTCCAAACAAAATAAAGACTAATGTGACAAAATAAGTATAGATAAAACCTACAAATAAGAACTCATGTTTAGAAATGGATGCTATCCGAAGAAAAAGCTAGTAAATATACGGAATGATTGATACAAAACTACAAAAAAAGAAAAAGGAAAAAAACATTTTTCAGGAATAGCTACATCTCCGATTAAGCATCAAATAGAAGCACACACACAGAAATAGAGCAAAGTTAACCATACAAATTGAACAAGAATTTGTAAAGCATGAAATATAAGCATACCTCAACCAGCGTAGACCAAAAAATCTTTTGATAAGTGAAAGAAAGTTGGTGAATTGCTTGCTGAAAACCCGCATCCAGATTTTTTTTATAAGAACAAAACCGCATGCCGAAACACAAGTATTTCTTATTAAAAGGCAAACCCAAACAAAAATATCTTTATTATTTTTAATTAAAAATATCACATACAATCCTAGTATAGAAGCCTTGCACTCCGGCGAGCGGCACTGTAGGATCACAGCAAGCTTGTGTGGTGGCTTGCGGTAGGCTCGCTGGCATCTATGAGCCGGCGGGCGGTGCAAGCGACTCGCTATGTGTTGGCTCGTAGCAGGCGTGCGTGTTGGTAGGCGGCAACACGCAGGCGACTGTTGCATTCCGGATCACGGTAGGCCTACTAGCGGGCATGTAGCCTGCTGCGGTTAGCTCGCGAGCAGGCCTACGTGCTCGGCTCACGGCAAGCTCTGTTGGCGAGCGGGTGGCGAGCCTATTGTGAGCTAGCGAGTAGGCGGACAGTCTATTGTGTGCTTGGCTCATAGCGAGCCTCCTTGGAGTGAAAGCCTTCCACGTCGACCCCTAGCTTTCACTTGAAAGATTAGGCATGAAATTTATCAATTGCACTTTTCGATCTAAAACACATTGACCCATAGCTTTAATACTGTCTGCTCCGATCCGAAACGGAGGTCGTTGAGAACAAACTTTTAGGTTCTCGCTATATCAATCTCGGGAACCCCGCTAAAATCATTAATCATGTGACATAACCATAACCAAAAGCTATTCCCAACATTGCATAATCATTCTATCAAAAGCATTACATTGAGCAAACAGATTTCAATTGTGAAGTCCACAAACAACAACCATACACATAAAATTTGGCTATGATTGGTTTATATTTAAGTGGTTGAAAAGGTGAAAATGAGGGAGGTAAGGAAAAATCACAAATAAAGAAGAGAGCAATAAAATACCCCACAATCGATTTTTACTGCCAGTAGGATACAAACTCAAAGAGACTCTTAATATCATTGAACCTTGAAAACATAACCACTAGATGCATTAAAAAGTATTGGTTTAATGGTAGTCCAAATACATCTCTTTTAAAAAAATTTACGATACATCGGTTACTAAAACATCCCAAGTTCATCATACCAAGAAATATATAAGAAACCATGTGTCAATAGGATACCCGCATTTATTTGATGAATTTGATATTCCATTTACACTAAGAACTCGTAAACCACATGTATCTACCACCCCTGTTAGACTTAAAAAGACCACTAGCATTTATTCATAGTCAAGACACAAAATTGGAGAGCTAATTCAACAACTTCCTTTACTTTTTCTCAAATAGCAATTATATTAAAATCAAACAGAAATTTGACTATTAGTCCAATATTTTCACGATCAACAATCAATCGAGAAAGTGAGTTAATATCTTGCTCGAAGCACACAAACATTCTCATTGTGGTATGTAATTATGCCTTCATTTAACTACACTTTTTTTCTTTAAGTTATGTTGGCTATAGCCCTATTATCTACCCGATACTCCTTTCTCGATCTACACACTTCAAATAAGGTAATTTGGCAAAGTCCAAATAGATATAAACTATTTTACAAGAGTCCCAATTGCACTTAATGTCACCAATTGGAAAACTAAAAATGAAAATCAACAAAGAGAAAAAATGACAGACTCCATTGACTAGATACATTACCCTACCCAATAATGAAATTACAAAATGCTAATTTTTTCAATATTCTCCAAAATTTTCTTAGATGAGGTGCAAGGCTGGAAAAAAAACCATAAACACAAGAACAATAAGAAATATAGTACCCATGATTATTGAATACAAAATGACAACGCCATGATAGATTAAAAAGAGCATAGAAGATAACTCGATTGCCATAAGTCCGATATTCTCCTAGGAAAATCAATCACAGCAGCTTACTCCGATAGAAATCTTCGATGATGCTTGCATTACCCACCATTATTGTCTCTAACTTTAAAGGGAAAGAAGAGAAACAAAACGGAAGCGTAAATCACATCGAGGAGCTTTAATTTTCTAAGTATTACTTGAAGGATTGTGGGTTATACCGTGAATTTGAATGGAAAGGAATGAAAGTCTAATCGAAAGAGCTCGCGATTCAAACGAGGGACGTTTCGGCTTTGCCAATGAGCAAGTAAGTGTTTTACCAAAAAAAGGGGTATATTTTTTATTCCAAACATAGGGGACGTTTCGGCTTTGTCCCTATAGATTCAAACATTTTGGTACAATCATTTTTCATCCCAAATAGATATTTAAATAAATAAATTTCGTCCTTAAATAACTTAATATTTAAAGACGTATATTTTTATCCCTAAATGGTATAATTCATCCTAAAATATGTACTTTTCATAACAAGGAGGCGGGACAAGGTGGGGGGGGGGATTTGGGCGCTAGTCATTTAAGGACAAAATATTTATTTTGTCTACAAAGATTAACATTTAGGGACAAAAATACATTCGTAGGAAAACGTTTCGTAGCTAACTTTCAAATTGTTGTAGAGGTCTCTATTTATATTAGTATTCAGCCACTGAAGGATAAAGATCCCTTATTACATCGGCCAATGAATAAAGAAAACTTATAAAATATGGACTACAAAAATTTTAGTCTAGTTCTACTAGAAAACATAAATCTTATCCATGCTTTTTAAGTACTAACTTCTCTATCCAGATCAAATATGGAATCCAAAAGTAATAAGAATTATTTTTAAAATCAAACCAGGTAACATAAATGGAACAACGTGACCTAAATGGATTAAGGTAACCCTAACTAAGCAACATAACCTAAAACAAGCACTTAATTCGATCGATGTTGCAAAACAAACACTTGGCCTATATAATCATGAATTTTGGCCGAGTTGAATGTTCTTGGACCACACTCCAGTGCATGTCAAACACTCTCAAGTTGTTGAAAACTCGATCTTGAATTTTGATTCATCCTTTCATCGATTCATTGGACGTCCAAATAAAACTTTCCAACCCGTTTTCCTTAGCTTCATCGAGCAATCCATGTAATTCAGTCCAACTCCTTCTAAATCTATGTTGATAGTATTTGACCTTTGATCTTGAATAATAGTAGGATGGTGTAAGACTTCTTCTAACATGTTCAGGGACTATTTTAAAGAGTTTGCATCCACCAATGATAGGAAGCTGACATACGAATTCTACTACCTTTGAACCCTTTTCTAAGAATTTGCACGCTGTTCCACAATCCCTTTCCTTCGATCCATTGTTCAAACTCTTTTCTACGAACTCAGGTAGCTATGATCAAGTCTAGCTTTTCTTTCCATATGCATGAACACGCGTATGTTGAGGGTTGTACAGATTTGATGTCCTACCTTCAATGTTGCTTCGTCAGAATTACATCTCATGGAAAAAATGCTTCTGTCTAGTTTTATGTTACCAACAACAGGTTGATCAACAAGTCTGTCGTTCAACACACTTTGCAAATCTCCATTACTCAAGACTTCTTGCCATAGCAGATTTTTAGTGTGAAGGAGAGTGACATCAAGGGTCCCACCTCCAAAATAAAAAAGAGAAATAAGACGACCATTCAGGGATGGACAAGACAAATTTGCTGCTGTAATTGGCTCCTTCACAATGTCAAGCACACATAATCCCGCCAACCTCTGTACTTTCTTCACGACATGCATTGCAAGCTCATGGTAATTGGCAGCACATTTTCTCACATAAGCAGTAACATGAAATGTAACTTTCGAGTGAACTGGTTTGTTGCCAACGATGAGATGTGTAAGTTTAGTTTTTCTGGAGATAAACCTGACATCAAAGCACAAACACCTTTTGACACCCACAGACTCTCCATGCAAGATAAGTTGTCGTAAAGTGTGTCTCTCTTCAGGCCCTTTAGCCAAATCACTAGCCCCTAAAGCACAAGCATGTCCATTGTTAATACCTAATTTCTCCCCTTACTATTCTCTTTTATTCTTATTTTAATTGCAAAAAATAAATAAAAAAGAAACAAAGTATTAAAAAAAAAAAAAAAGAAATCAATTTAAATGAATATTTCAAATTAGTCTAATTAAAAAGGAAAAAAGAAAAAGAAAGTTTGAGAATCAAACTAAAGCCGACCAAGGGCAAAATTTTTTTTTAAAAAAAAAAAAGAAGAAGAAGAAGAAGAAGAAGAAGAACAACAACAACAACAACAAAAAATCCTTAAATAATGAAAAAAAGGGACATAATTAGAGAAAAATTTAAGGGCTTGATTAAATATAATTTGAGTGCCACTAAAGTTCAAAGGATCCAAATTACACTTAATCTAATAAATATGGTGAAATCGAGGACCAAACTATTTTTTACCCTAAAACCTTAATTACTACCTATAAAAGCTAACTTTTCTCTCCACACAAAAAAGCCTCCATCTCTCTCAAAATTTCTAGTAGCTTGTTCTCCATCTTTAAGCTAGTTTGCAAGCTTCTCCATCCAAAAAATCCACAAAAACACTATATTCCTCCATCACCTAACTCATTTTCCTCTATTAAAACCACCATCAACCTCCTTCTTTCACTTGACCAACTAATCACAACATCCCTACACATCCAACCCTCTTACTCCACCCAAAAAAAATCACAAAAAACCCGAACATGAAAAAACATTAAAAACGGAAAAGAGATAGCCAAACATGCCTTTACCCAAACAAGTAGACCCATTTAGTCGTTTACCCGACCGAACCTTCCTCCTCCAAATTAACCACCTTCGAGTCGATTTTAATCTTAATCTCCACCACCCATGGATAGCCCATAGTTAACACTTCACCTTCTAGGGGCATTTTCATAATTTTATTATATAAGGGTAGTTTGGTCATTTCACTCATAAGGGCATTTTGGTCATTTTATAACTAGCCAATAACATTCCAGTCATAATATAGTAGCTACCTCGATACCCATAATAGTTGTTTCCTCCTTCTCGACTAACTAAAACAAGTAGTCTTCATCGAGAATGAAGGAAACAAATTGATCCGAAGAAGGAGATCTCGATGCTTTCATGATGCTTAAGTAACTTCTAAATTTACGTAGATTATTTTAAATCATAAATGATTTTAAAATGTTAGGTCATGAATGGTTATGATTGTTTCTTGTTACATGTTTTGCTTAAATGAAATTGTCGATGGCTCCCCACTTATGTGGTCGAAGCCGTTAGTGGCTTCTAATCAATTATCTCATGTTGCTTGTTTATAGAAATGAAGTTGTCGGTGACTTTCCACTTATATGGATGGGATTATCAATGGCTCTAAAATTAGATTTGTACTTAATTGTTGAATTATTGAAACAAAGATGTCATGTGGCTTACCACTTATATGACGAAGCTATAAGCGATTTTGAAATTTTTTTGTTTATTGTATGCTTATCTAAAATGAAGCCATTGAGGCTTATCACTTAAGTGATGAATTCATTGATGACTTCTAAACTAGTTATATGCTCCTTGCTGAAGCAAAATAGAGTTATTGTGGCTTCCTACTTATGTGATAAAGTTATCGATAACTTCTTAAATCCATGACTCAAAATCATTAGGAGCTTCTCACTTGCATGAGTGAAGTTATTGATGAATCGTTGCTCATATTAATAAAAGGCTACCAGCTTTTAGAAAGTAGCCTATTTGTTGCTATAAGTTATATTCGGTAAAGACTAGCTGAAATTCCAATTCCCCCCACCCTTATCCTTTGAGTATAGGTATCAATCTCAAACTAGCCTAAACGCCAAATTACTCAATTTTATCCTAATAATATAAATTCATTCGAGTAGGTATAGAAACATAACATATAAAACCAGATTTTTATTTTCACATGCAAACAATGCAACCTATCTTAGGTAGGACGGGATGACGAGTAATGTTATATCTTTTCTATATATAACTAACCCTTTATCTAGATACCTTTATAGACCGAGTACATTTAGGGTTTCTAATTCTCCTTGATTAGCTAAGTGGAAACTCCTTGTTTTCACATATTTCATTGTGTGGGCCCCTACGTGGATAAAATTGGTGATTCCACTAAGAACCATGTCATACTAGGGTCAAGTTTTGAATGTCCGTGTTCATGAATCTCTAGTTGTTTGTTATGCTTCTATGCTTGTATATTTTAAATGAATAACTGGCCTTTAGCTATTTGCTTTTTTTATGTTATATATATTGGAGATTTTATTCATTTAATTTCTTTGTTTTTAGTTTTTGAGATTAGACATGTGAAGGATCATGCATCCTATGTAGGTGTAAAATAAAACAATAATTTTCGTCCATCTAAGGCTCCTAAGATCAAGTTGTTAAATCAACTAATCATACATACATGAATTAAAGCGTGAGTTAAAGGATTATCGACAAAAAAAGAGTCACCTAGGTATTTGGCCTTTATCGATAATCCATGCAGTTTAAACACCCATAAAGGAAGTCACAAAATTTACAAAGTGCTAGCTCCAATCCTTTTGTTTAGTTAATTTTTCTCTAAAAATCAAATTAGGGTTTTATGTGACAATTTAGGCTTTTTTAAGAAGAAATGCGACAATTTCAGCTTTTAGGAAGGAAAACTCTTTCTCCCTATTTTTCTTTCTTTTTGCCATGTATCACCTGTCTCTCTTGTTATCCTTTTTTACTACCTCCGTCATATTTATATAGGGGTGGCATTCTTGTCCTCTTAGGACAATGAGTTGTAATATATATATAGGTGGGTTTTTTTTTTTTTTTATCTTATCCTTTTAAACCTTTATCCTTATCCAATAATATTCATGTTTATCCTCCTATCAAAATATCTTGTAGACTTTTAAATTAAACCTATTGGCCCAAACTCTTTTGGTCCAATTAATTACTAATTAATTTGGACTATCCATATAAATTGGCTTAGGTATTTTTAGGAGGTCCACATTAAAAAATAATTTTCTAAATTACCCTTAAACCTAAATTAGGAAACTAATTTCCTTTTTAGTTAACTTACTTTCAAATTAAAAAACTGATTTCTAAAATAGAAAACTTTTCATTTTAGGAAGTTTTTCATTTTTGAAAATTTTTTCTGAAATAGAAAACTTTCAAAATTGAAAACCTTTTCCAAAATCTTTGCTTCTCTTTTATCATGCGAATGCTTAAATTTATGCATTTGACTCAATAGGCTCCTAGATATATTGGCAATGCATCAAGAATAAACGACTCCTCTTTTATCTCTTGATACATAAATCAAGATTGGCTTTTAGCAATATATCATGACTACATAATTCTCTAAAAGAATTAATTAATCTATAATTACTTTTCAAGATCATGGTTACTATACAATTCGAGTCCTCATATCAATTTATCACAAGTGTGATCTCAAACTTGGTTATTAGTCCGTTCAATTATGATCACATAAGTTTTCTTTGATTCTTAAATATCTTATCTCTTAGAGTAAACCAACTATACTCTATTGGTGTACTCCTACTATGACCACAAATTTCTTGATCAGACATTTATCAAAGTGCAATGTAATAACTTCTCTAACATATAAGGAATGACATATCTTATCTCAATCATCCTCCTATCTCTATTAGATTCCTAGTGCACTAAATGAATCATCCATGTGTAACCTTTCACTAGGTCCATCGAAACGATTGTCAAAGTACATAAATCATTTAATGAGATAATCTTGATGACTTTAAGTTAAGGATTAGTTATACCCATCTTGTATAAAATTCCCATGGACTAAACCAAATACATTCTCATGGTGAGTTAAGTACGAGTAATATGTTTTCTAATATTAATCACTTAAATGCTTGCTCCGGCATCATCATGCCAATAGGTGTGAAATCTTATACTACTATCTTATAGCATAAGCATAGCACTCACAAGTCTTATTGCATATAGTCAATGTCCATTGTTAATAATGCTATGACTTGTAACATTTAATGACATCATTTAAGTGCATTAATGTTTATCTCGTATCTTTTGATCAATCATTAATGCAATGCATATCATATGGACTTCTATCTAATCGTATTCAGTAAATGTAAACAACAAGAATTAATAAATAGATAATGCAATATTATTATAAGTTAACCTATCTAGACGTGGTTCGATCTTGAGCATCTACACTAACAATATTCCACTTGCACTAGAGCCAACCAACCATGCCCCTTATTCTTGATGATCGAGTAAGGGTGTCATATCTCAAGATCGAGTAAGGGTGTCATATCTCAAGCTGTGACAAAGGCTTAGTTAAGGAGTCGGCTATGTTATCATCGGTATGGATCTTTTCTATCCTTATATCACCATGATCGATAATCTCTCTAATTATGTGATAGCGTCACAATACATGCTTAGATCTTTAATGAGACCTTGTTTCCTTAGCTTATGCAATGGATCCTATGTAGTTGGCCATCAAGTATTGTGACCTTAGAATAAATCATTTCTTTGATTTTTCCATATTAAACCTTTTAGTATCATGTCTATATATCTACCTTAGGAGTCCCCTCACATTTTAAGTGATCTATCTCTATAGATCCCGACTCTTAGAATATAGGTTGCCCTCTCATGTCATATATGGAGAAACTCTTGAATACCTAATCTTTTATAGATCATAACATGATAATGTTATAGATGAGAAGTAATCTGTTTGATTTTTCATGTAAAATAGCCATGACTAGTTGACTTCTACTAACTTTTTATATACACAAGGTTCATCTTTTTTTTTTTGGTGGAAAATAACCTCTTTGATAGTTTTATTAAAACATCAACTTTAATTCCTAGAGGCATGCTCAAGTCCATAAATGGACCTTTGCATTTTGTAAATCTTATTTGTAAGTTCACTAGGGTGTCATCTACATATTCTTTTTATTTACCTTTTCTAGGAGTTAACATCTAACATTGATATTTCATAAGCTTAGCTTCATTATTCTCTTTAGGGTACAC